CTTTCTTAATACCATTTTCTTTTCTCTAACTTTATTGTAAGAATACAGCATATAATGCATATAACATACAAGGTATGTGTTAATCGACTATTTATGTTATTGGTAAAGCTTCCCATCAGTAGTCAGCTATTAGTAAAGTTTTGGGGAGTTGGAAGTTACACGTGGATTTTCTACTGTGGGAGGAAGAGGGGTACCCCTAACCTCCACATCATTCAAGGGTCAAATGTAAATGTGAAAGTCATTTTTGCGGTTTACTAAGAGTTAGGCACGAGAGGGCTCTGCAGCCTTAATTTTCTTAGTTGTTATGTTGTTAATAGAGTGCAAGTTTAACAGGGTTTTTTTTTTAAATATGATTTAACCTCGGTTTTAATCTTATAATGAATACCAAGCTGCAAAGGGCTGTTTAGTCATTTGTTAAACTTCTGGAGCTTTATGGCTGTAGACAGCAATACAGATAGGATTTCTAGGGGCACAGAAGATATGAATCTTAAATCTAAATAGGAGCTAAATAGAGACAGCCCACTTTGCACCACGGTGCTTTTTGAAGAATTCGCAAAATAAGGTAGGTATCATAAAGTAGATCATGTTTTCCCACGGGAATGATTTTATAATTATGGGCTGCTTTCTTGAACAGAACTTAGTTTCTAATTATAACAGTAGCCTGTTTTTTTTTAAATTACAACAGCTGTGATAGAAATATCATGCACACTAATTATACCAACACCCCAGTGCACAATAGTTGTTCATTCATTCAAGAAGTACTCATTGAGTGTGTACTATGTGCCAAGCACTATTCTGGGGTTTTGATGTGAGCAAAATCACATGACCCGCCCCCACATCAATATTACGGAGTGGGCTGGTGGGGAGATGACTCTAAAGCAAGCATTCATGGCAAATTATAAATGCTAGAAAGGAAACACAGACAGGCACCGCCTTGAGGAGGTGGCAGATGGACCGAGACCAGTTGTAGCTGCAGCGAAAAGTCATCCGTCACAGGAAAGCAATGTGTAGGGACCCTGACTCCCTAGAGGAACTCAGAGAAGTGTGATGATGAGTCTGGAGCCGTCCGGGAGAGAATCCAGTAAGTTAGCAAGGAGGCTGGGCCCGGGACGTGCCAGGTGTTGGGAACCATGGGAAAGACTTGATCATTGTCCTCGATGAAGTGAAAAGGCATAGAAGAGTTTTCAGTGCATGAAGTGAGGATGGGGTGACATCGCATCTGCAGTTTGCCCAGCTTGTGGCATGATGGTTCTATGCCCCAGGAGAAGGTTTCAGAGAATATTATGCCTAGTACAGGCGAAAGGTGACCAGGACAGAAATGGAGAAAAGTAAGTGACATTTGAGAGTGAGCTAAAAAGTAAAAACAAACAAACAAACAAACAGAAACACTGGTGGGGGTCACGATTTGAATATCTGGAGAAAAAATGGTGGAAAGGGCAGCTCCAATTTCTGGCCGGTAGAGCCACATAAGTGGGGTGGCATTCCCTGGAAGAGGACCAGATTTGGGAGGAAGATGGCATTTCATTTTGGGTATCTGACACTCCAGCTTCTCGTGAATTCTCAGATGTCAAACAGTCACTTGCATGTGCTGGTCTGGTGCTCGGGTTTTGGGCCACAGAGGAAGATGAGTCATTGGCGATCCTACAAAGGAGACTGAAAAGGAATGTCAGTACAGGGAGCAGGAAAACCAGGATAATAGGGACCATGGTCCCCAAAGGAAGACAGTGCTTCAAGAAGAAAGGAGGGGCTAAAAGTGTCAGGCACTACCAGAAATTCCATGCGAAAGCAACGGATAAATACCAGCTGGATTAAGCAACAGAGCCGTTCTGATGGTTGCAAACTAGATTGGAGTGAATTGGGAAAGAGATGAAGAGGTGAGTGCAGATAACCCTGTGTGACTTTTACCCTTGAAGAGGAGAGAGCTGCGCCCCCCCCCCCCACCACCACCAAGAAGCTGGACACCGGGAGAGTCCAGGGAAGGCTTCTTGGAGGCGCAAGTTTGACCACATTTTCCTATCGCTAGGGCGGATAGAGATGTCTTGACAGCTAATAAATGTTTCTAGACTGCAAGATGTGCTTGTGTATGTGAGAATCCAAATTGTATATGAATTTACAGAGAAGTTTTTCAGGGATTGACTTTTATTAACAGACACCACACGTTGATATTTTCCCCATCTGTGAGCCCTACAACACGGAGGTCCGTAAATACGGCATTTGGGAATTAGTGTAATGTGGGCTGAATTTTGTACAGCATCCAGGTCAGAACGATTCAGCCTGGGTTATGCTTATTACTTCGAGAGAAGAAATGGCCCAAGAGCATCATCTTTTTCTTCTCATTTTGATTTCTTTTTTTTTTTTCAACTTTAGAATTTCTTCCATGTTCTCCATGTTGAGAACTAAGCAAATACCAGTTGACCCTAGGCCCTCCACATTTAGAAAATCAGTTTTTATTTCCCATCCCCTGGAGCAGTTAGTTATCTTCCCAACAGGCAGTACTTTGATCCAAAGACCATTGCCAAGTCCAGAGCGGGGTCTCCATGGTATGTGAGTGAGATAACCAATTGATCTAGAACCAACGTAAGGCCCGGTAGTGTGGGGAGACTCTCAAACCTGTGGATGAACCACCCAAATCCAAGTTTTGCCCCCCCCCCCCCCCCCCCGACTTCCTCTTGGCCTTGAATACAGAATGGAATTTGGAGCAGCTAATCCAGTGCTGCCTGGTGGGCCTGCCAGTAAGCCCTCGAGGCTACACCCTACTCGGCAGTGCCTCCAGAACTTGCTGCCTTGCATACTGGTCCACCCTTGATGTCTAAAAAGCCTGTAAACACAAGGACTCTCCTTTTCCTGTTGTTGATTCTTTGCCTCAATACACCTTCAGATACCCTGCACCTATGTAGGTCAAGGGCAAGCAACGGTAGCCCACCTCCTAAAGGCTAAGCTGGTAGTTGCTGGAGCCACCTAGCCATCTGCTTGGGGGAGTGAGGCCTGAGCCCTGCTTGCCGAGGGTCTGATGCTGCAGGCCTGACTTTCTGTCGGTCTATTTATTTCATCGAAGTATAGTTGACACACAATGTCACATTCGTTTCAGGTGTACAACATAGTGATTTGACCACTTTACACATTATGCTGTGCTCACCGCAAGCGTGGCTACCCTCTGTCACCGGACGGCACTATCACAATACCATTGACTGTAGTCCTCGTGACTTCCTCATCCCATAACTGGAAGCCTGCATCTCCTGCTCCCCTCTGGCCATTGTGCTCATCCCCTCACCTCCTCCCCCCCGACTCTGGCAACCACCAGCATGTTCTCTGTATTTAGGGCCTGTTTCTGCTTCTTCTGTTTGTTTATTCATTTGGGGATTTGGGGTTGTTTGTTTTTTGTTTTTTTTACATTGCACATATAGGGGAAATCACATGGTATTTGTCTTTCTCTGTCTGACTTATGTCACTTAGCATAATACCCTCTGGGTCCATCTGTGTTGCCACAGATGGCAAGATCTCACTCATATGTGGCTGAGTTATATCCCATTGTGTGTGTGTGTGTGTGTGTGTGTGTGTGTGTGTGTGTGTATATATGTATATGTATATATGTATATACCACATCTCCTTTATCCATTCATCCGTTGATGGACAGCCCTGATACTCTAGAAAGAGCCACTCACCTGTAGGCAAAGCCATCTTAAGCTGACTCCGCCTAAGTAAAAACTGCACATGGTATAAGGCTTAAAGCTGCCCACCAAATTACAAGAAAAGCTACCTGTGGGACCCTAAAAGCTAATTGTGGCATAAAACTATTTACTCTAAATCGCCAAATAAACACCAATGGCCCGCACTTAGAATATGGGGGAACAGGGCAATAAAGATGCTGTCCTCCCACCCACGTTCTGAACCAATTTGAAAATTTAAAACAAAGGAGTAAGGCAGAGAGGGGCTACACCCTCACCTTGATCACTGATAAAGCTGACATTAGAGATTGTGCCTTCTGTCGGTGGGCAGGTGGGCATCCTCATACTAAACTCAGGATCAGAAGCTTTCCCGTGCATCAGGGTGAATGGGGCAGCCTTCCACCTCACAGGAGCAGATTTTGCATATGTCGCACTTACGACATCAACAGGTAGAGCAAAATGTGTGTTACTTGTGGGGCGTTCTCTGCCGAAAGAGCCAGAGTGGGGCTAGATTCTGCCTGCCCAATTTTCCCTTCTACACTTGCCGATCAAATTCCTGATTTCTGCCCAAAGAGAAGTCCGTGTGTGGGGTCAAAGAGACCAGGAGCTCCTGGAACCCCACCCAGGTGGATAAAAGCAATGAGGAGCTTGGAAGAAATTACCCCCCACACAGCCCCTCCTTCTGCCCCAAAAGCTCCTTCCTGACATCATAATACGAGAGCAGATATTCGCTGCCGAGATGGAAGTCATACTTAATTCGGATGGCTTAATGCACCTTTTAACAACTGAGAGCCATATCACAGTCTGACATGCTTTTATGGAGTCTGCATTTGCTAAGTGCCCTCCGTGTGCCCTGAACTGTGATAGGCCCTAAGAGATTACAAAGAAGCAAATGGCTGGAGTCAGCCCTCATCCTCTGTAGTGGGTGGGTGGGGACAGTATTTATGTTAGTGAAATTTTGGGACTACTTGGTAACTCATAGTTGCCAGAGGAAATTAGAGGCGAACATCTATGAACTAAAGTTCGTCATGAACCATACTGGCCTTCAAAGAGCCCTCAGCAGGATTCTGGTTTTCTAGACCTCTGCAATCTGAAGAAAAAGTGTGTTTCCTTCCTCAATGTGTCCTTTTTCATGAAGAGGGGGAGGATATGTCATAAGAAGACTAATTTGGAGGAAAATGACCTCATGGGCTCACAATTAAGCTGTTTCCCTTTGCATCTTGGTGGAAGAACCCCATCGGCCTATGGCAGGTCCGTTTAAGGAAGTATATGTGTATGAATTAGGAAGGGTGGGGTTGACCTACACAGGCAGGACATTACTCTTCTTCCTCTTCCTGACCACACTTCCCACAGCAGTCATGGTCATTGCTCAACTTCCTGTTGGGGAAAACCTCTTGGATACTGAGCGTCCACCTGCTCCAGCGAGCAAACTAAGGATAGCAACATGTTCGCTGCTGTTGGGAAACCTGAGTTTTGAGCTTGCCTACAGACCCCTTTTCCGTACTATCTGAAGCAAAGATGGAGCCGATCTGCGTGGGGCGGAAGCGACCGGAAATGGCAGCCCTGACAGCCCACCGCCTGGAGTAAGACATGACAGGCGTGTGAAATGTGGGGATTCGGGGCGGTGGGGGGCTGGGGTGCAGAGACAACAAGCGGATGTCCTAAGGTAGCACCTGCAGCCAGGGTAGTGTTGGCTCTAACGGCAAGCAAGAGGTGGGTGGAAGGACGGGGGTATTGGGCCACCAGGCCCTGGGGAACACTGTTGGGCCCCTGGCCACAGCGCTGATGCTCTTCATCCAACAAACCATGTGGTGGTTACCACACTGCGCTGGGCGCAACAATAACAAACGTCGTGGCCCCTGGCTTCCAGAGGCCCAGAGTCTGGTCCCTTGGTTTCATGCCCCCTCAGCTGGGTTCCAGGTTTGTAAGGGAAGAAAGTGGGTGCCGGGGCGGGGGATAAGCGGCTAGAGGAAACACAGGCCCGGCACTGTCTTAGACCGAGTGGGGCAAGCCCTGGGAATCTGCATTTTATGCAGAGTTCCGGATCCATAGTGAGGTTTGGGGGGAGCCGGCTGCATGGACAGAGTAAGTAAGTGTGGTGAGTGGTGTGCTGTGCTCGTGGGCCCGGGGACCCATGAGAGCCCGAGGGAGGCAGACCTGTGGGGAAAATTCCGCTGTGAGGCTCAGGGAATTTTCTTGGAATGAACTGTTGGTTCCATTTACCTCCTTTTTCGCCTTTATGTTACCCCTGGTGGCTGATCACAGCAGCTGCGCCGAGTTCTCAGTGTCTGAATTTGGGCATTTCACTGTGCTTCAGGCTCTGGCCATCCACCCTGTGGCTCTCATCTTGCTTGGACTTCTGATTCGCCCACCACGGACCAATGTCGGTTGTTTATGGGGATCTCAGATACGGGGCAGCAGTGATGATCAGGGCCTCAAAGAAGAGCTCCATTTGGAGAATGTTAGTTCTCTATCATCTTCACAGCAGATCTTTGGCTTTTTCAGCATCACTGTGTTCTCTCAACCCCCCCACCGCAAAGACGGGGCCAAGGTGACTTCTGTTTGTCTTGAGGGAGCCTCCTCCTGGAATCCCCACTAGGCCTCATCCCCAGCCCGCTCGGTCTCCCACAGCCCGAGTTCCTAAACAGAATGATTCACGGTAACCACACACGCTGTGTTCCCACCTCCTGGTCCTGTCCCCTGATGGGTGACCCTGGACCATCCCAAAGGTTCCTGCTTCATCCCCCACCTCCAAGCCAGAATCAGACCCCAGGCTGGAACACCTGATTCCTCTGCTGTCCTTCCTGGATGCCACTCCACACCCACAGGCAGTATTCCCAGCAAAGGCATTTTCAGCCTGTCCTTGTGACACTGGAGGTCATGGGAACTAAGAGACTATTGAAGGCCCTGTGGCCTTTTCCCTGAAGGGCAGTTAGCATCACACCCTGAGTAGCTCTCTGCTGACCCCGTCAGAGCCCAGCTCAGCCCCCAGTGGCAGAAGGCATGCTCCAAGGCAGAGGGAGTCCCCACTCTGGGGTGCGCCACAAGGAGAAATAGCACCTGTACCTCTCATCAAATGCTGCCCTTCTGTGATCACGCACTGTGCCCCGGCTTCATGGTTGAACCCCATCTTGAGGTTGGGACCAGGAGGGACGAGTGCCAACAGCCTCCTACTCTGGTACCATTTCAAGTCCCCATCCCCCATTTCTACTTTCCCTCCATCTGCAGTGACACTAAAGTTTGTCTAAATTTGGGGAATGTCAGAATAATGAGCAAATGAGCAAAATTTCAACTAAATGAATATGTAAAGTGTGTATCCTCAAAATTCTGCTGCTTTTAGTAAACTGTAGGCATTTCTTTTTTTATTGTGAAGACTATGGAGGGATTTGGGGAATTTGCCTCCTGCAAAAACAGTCTTCATCTTGTTAAGTAAGGTGCTGGCGGGAAGGGAGAAAAAAAGCGAAGTCAGGTGTGGATATGGATCATTTCATTCGCATAAGCCACAGAAGTCATAAGACAGTAAATAATATGAAAACCTCTGAGGCTGGCTACAATTAATTCAATTTTAGTACCGTCCAGGGTGAATGAACATAGCATCCAGAGACGCGCAAGGGATTCTAGAGCTTTCTGCTTCTTGCCCCTCCCACAACTTTAATGCAGTCATTGGTCTCCAAACAATGTGCACCTGGCATCTTGACCAGTAGGGGGCATAAGTGAGCAGTGTACTAAATGAGTGGAGCTCAGGTCCCACCTCCGCAGTAAGAGGCGGCTCCAGCCGGCTCACCAGGAGAGAGAAAAGAATGAGGCCATTGGAATCAATTCATTTTTTTAAAAAAGTCTTTGAGAGTTTACATGATTGTGCATTCTTATTAAATTCCCTTAATCAACTTTCCTCAGCCACAAAAGCTGATGTAATTCTGTGACTTGAACCCTCAGAACACTAGAAATGGTTTTCATAGATTGTGAGTGAATCCTCTTGATCTAGAGGAATGGTTCTCTTTGGAAAAGCAATTGCCCCAGAGCTGTTCCAGTTCAGAAAAGAAATGGGATGGGGAAAAGAGAAATAGATGCATAGGTACATGCTTCCCATACTCCCCCCCCCAACACACAGTCGTGTTTAAATGTTAAAAAATGAGGCTTAAGTAAAAAGGGAAGATTTAAAAACATGTTCTCTCCAAGAAAGAAGACGGGCACTTCTGTAATCCTGATCATCCCCTCCTATTGATCGGCTCTATTCGTATCCCTCATCTTTATTTTTGCATTGCCTGCTTTTCTCATCCCATCTCCCCAAACTTTCCAAGGGCCTCCTGAGGGAGGGCGAACAACAGCAGCCAGGGAGAATGTGGGTGGAGGACACAGGCAGTGGAACTGCCCGGACCTGTCTGCCTTGGGTGTAGTACCTCGTCCTGCCCCCAGCTGGACATGGTTCTCCTGACGGTGGTGGCAGCCTGACAGGGCTGTCCACCCCTCCTCGTCACCCGGCAGGGCCACGGCTGCCCGGGGAACATGCTGTCCACAACCATGGTGGGGACCCTGATCCGCGGGTGGAGGAATCGAAGCGCCCCTCGAAGGCCTGAATCCAAACTCCTTATTCCGCAGAGCCAAGATGGACCTCAGACTCAGGGTATGTTTGACACTCGGCTATGACTGTGTGATTTTTTTTTTTTTAAGGGTTCAGGAAGGTGATGATGAGCATCCAAGCTTACCCCTACTTCAGATAGAATTGACAAACTAGAGTCTTGTTTTTCTTCTCAGGTTATTATAAGTTATGGCTAGCTCATTTTCCTTCCAAAGCTTTTATTTTCAGATGTAATCCCTGTTCTGTGATATTTGTATTTGACTAGTACGACAAAAGGTGTACTGGCTTTTGGCAAATTCTAGTCTAAAGCACATCACTTTATTATTATTATTATTATTTCCAGTATGGAAAATGGTAAAACAGAGTTAGCTCCTGGGTTTCCCCATTAATTATTTTTATTTTCTGTTACTATTGTTTTGAGGCGACAATAGTACTATGACCAAATCCTAGCCCTCCTGTTAACTGAGCTCAGAACGTTACTGTGGCCTTTTCTGAGACAAATTTTCATTGGAATGAAATACTATTGAAACACCTGACCTCATTCTGTTCTGTCTAGACCTTGAACTTTTTAATGACACTTATTTAGAAAGGAACTCTTTGGTCTTGCTGATGATTGACCTAGGAGAGCAGCTCAGAGCCAACAGAGGAAGTGAGCATGAGCCCAGGAGTCATAAGCTCCCAGGGCCTTTCTGAGTTGGCCTGCAGCCCCTCAAAATGCTTTTATCTGACCCATAGCCCCGAGAGCTGTCTGAGCAGTAAATGCAACTGTTCTTTCATTTCAACAAATATATATCAAAAGTCAGTATGTGCCAGGCATTTTTCTAGATACTGTCATGCTCTGATCTGTAGCTAACCTACGATTGAGTGGTACAAAAACTAAATGTTGTGATTTGTTTTGTTCTGACGGTGGTTTCCAGCCCTACTTTTCAGGCTGACTGTGTTCAAGAACCAGGCCAAGAGATTATTTTGAAAATAGTCTGATAAGTATTCGTTGCAAGATAGAAAAACCAGTTATTTAACCAGGCATACAAAAAATAGAAGGCTCTTCTGTGTTCTAAACTGCCAAAAGGATTAGTGATTATTTGTAGAACCTAGGTATTCAGTAAGAAGTATGAGTCATAGTATTTCAAACATTGATCACCTGGTTCTGCTCCTGGTAAATTTCTTTAACAATACTCAGAGCTTTACGAGATGACAAAGTAATATGCTAACATGAAAGCGATGGTGTGGTTTTTTTAACAGGTTTCTTGAAATATAATTTATAATTTTATAATTTAAATTCACCCAGTTAAAGGGTACAACTCAATAGTGTCTGGTATGCTACATTATTCATTTGTTTAAGTGGTAGCAAAATATATATAACATAAAATTTGCCATTTTATCCATTTTTAAGGGCACAATTCAGTAGCATGAATTACAGTCATAATTTTATGCCACCATCACCACTGTCTACTCCCCAAACTTTTTCATCACCCCAAACAGAAATCCCACGATCATTAAGCAGGAACAACTCCCCACCCCCACCCCCACCCCCACCCATGTATCCTCCCTTGGTAACCTGTCATCAACTTTCTGTCTATAAATTTGCCTCTTCTAGATATTTCATATAAATACAGTCATACAATATTTGTCCTTTCGTGTCTGGTTTACTTCACTTAGCATAATGTTTTCAAGATTCATCCATAGCCTGTATCAGAACTTCATTCCCTTTTATGGCTGATGCAATAGTATATTTTAATTCCCTTGTATTTTATTCTCCCTCCCTTAAATATACCTTAACTTCTAACCTACTCATGAAGAAATCTTTGGGTGTTTTCAGTCTGATGGTATTTTTATATTTAAGTTATGTAAAGCATGAAGAGACTCTCAAGAAGGTACTTATTTTCAGTTATTTCTTTAAAGGCAGGGGCCATAGATTAATCTTTTCAAAAATCTTTTTATCCTAATGCCCAGTCCAGGTCCTGGTGCAGAGTAATGATTCAACAAATTTCTCTTGAGAGGGAC